TGGCAGGTCTTCCAACCAGTTCTATCAAACCTTTACAATTAATCCAGAATGCGGCAGTAAGATTAATTTTTAACGAACCGAAAATAATGCACGTCACACCTTTTATCAGTTTGCACTTGCTACCAATAGCTGCTCGCATAAAATTCAAGGCATTTATGTTTGCCTACAAAACCACCACTGGCTCTGCACCCCTTTACCTAAATTCATTACTTCAGACTTATGTTTATTTGACCCTCTAGCTCTAGCACTTTCCATTCTAATTATTTTCTTTATATATATATAAAAAAACTTGCCACTTTTTGACTCTATTTATTTACTAACTGCTTACTTAACTGCTTGTTTCTTTAAAAAGAAATACACTTGCTTTTCTAATCTTTTTGCATTCTATCTATTTGTTTTCATTTTATTTATTATACAATTATAATTCTGACTTTCTTACTTCTGACTTTTGATTAACAAAAGCAAAAGGCCTCTAACACTAGCTTTTGCTCTATTCGTTTTCTATTCTATCGGTTTTCTTTTTTTTATTTATTATATGATTAAAAAAAAAACCTTTCTATGTGTACTGCATTAAGCTTACTGAGACTTGTTATAGCACTTGCATATCATTGCTCTTTTGTTGATTTTGATTGCTTCCATTGTCCTCATTTGTAAGTCGCTTTGGATAAAAGCGTCTGCTAAATGTCTAAATGTAAATGTAAATATCAATGTGCCTAATAATTATGCATGTGGAGTAATTGTAATTGTAATTGTATTGCACAAGTTCATGTGTTCATTTTCTTTATGGTATATTAATATATGGGTAAAACCTTCGGGAACGATTCTCGCTATTAAGTAGTTGCTTATTAGCATGTACATGTATATTGCTAGCATATTGGCTGTCTTATTCTGCATTGCAACATTTTAAATCTCTTAACCCTGCCCCATGTCTAATCTTAACATCTACCTTACAACCTATTAATAAGTAGCACATTAGGAGTTTTATGAGGCAAATGTCATAGTTAGTTAATGGTGAGAATTGGTCCCCAAACTAAAGTGTGACCAATATATCATTAGTTCAACTCCCATACACGTGCTTGTCATTGACATTTGCATCTGCCACAGTATGGTTTTGTTATATTTTTACAAAATAATAATCCTGGATAATATGCATTAATAAAAATACTAGCAGAATGAAGAATGTGACTTTTTTTCCAGGGTGAATCTGTATGACTATCGGTCAATCTGTAGGGTGTATGCACAGACCAGTGATACAGCACACACACTTTTGCACGTGAGTACCATACAAAGCCATTACATCTGTGATTTTGCATGTGTTTCTCATTGTAGTTTCTACTGACCCAATATTTTTCTCTGGTTTATTTTGTATTTTTGCAAAAGCAGAACTCCAAAACATATTTTCTTATTATGCCCCCTCATTGAAGTCCTTGATACATACATCCACGTCGTATCAGCAGCTTGTCAGTTCTCCACGGACATGTTTGAGACGTGTTTCTCAGTTCTGTCTAGTAACTTGTGAACAGCTGTAACCGTTAACAGACGCTTGACTTTAAAGAGAACTGCTGTCACAGTAGTTTATCAGTGCACTAGTTTATGCAAGAACTACTGCTACTTGATCACATTTATATTTCTAATAATAATTTTATTTGTTATCATTTCTGCTGTTCAGCCAAAAAAAAAATGTCTTGGTTACGTATGTAATCTGGATAATTGGATCTCGCTTAGAGAGACCAATCCACTTCGAGTGTAAACTAAATGAGCCAATGCACATTGGCATGTGATTATTGCATCCAGCTGCCGCTGATCACAGCATGAGTATAAGTAGGCAGCAGGTGCAGCGCATATTCAAGTTTTTGCTGAGGAGCCGAGCCGGTGACCCGGCCGATCCCAATTCGTCGGTCATCTGACGTGACGTCTCCATTCCCTCCTTCAGGTAACGAGTGTTACATACGTAACCGAGACGTTCCCTTTCAGTCGGTCACTCTCGACGTCACGTCAGATGACCGACGAATTGGGATCCCTACCAAAGGGCCACAGGTACTGCCCCTTCCAGTGTCCTGTGGAAGCCTCCTGCGCCCCTACTTTTTGGCTTAGGCCAGGGCTTACTACAAGAAGACCAGCTACTGCTGCTATGGCACTACCCACTCAGTAAGACTGGATAACACTGGGAAAACGTACCCGTACCACTTGGGACAGGAACGTTGCAGGATCCCCATCCTTCCCGAAGGAGGTCTCGGAAGCACTTAAGGTGATTGTAACCCTCTTGGAAAATAACAGGAAGTCTGCCGGGCAAACACAGGCTCTGAGGCTATACCGTGGATTTTACACATATGGGATCCACTTAGGTCTCTCTACATATGGAACCCAGCCCTCTACCGATCCTCATGGATTCATTGAGTGAGGGCCTGGCGCCGGATGCTCCACCACATCTGGCTGCCGAGGGGACGGAGGAGCTCGACAGGGTTTACGATATGGACTCTCTGGAGCGGTTTTAGCAAGCCGACCCGAAGCCTGGGCCTCACAGTGCTTCTACCCGTTTGAGGTGAGAACACAGGAGGATACCGGCTCCACACGAAGGCTATAGAATCTAGCGAATGTGTTGGGGGTCGCCCAGCCCGCAGACGCTGTGCAAGAAGGTATGCAAACACTGTGCAAACAGATAGTGGATGCCATCACCGCATTCAACACAAACAGGGAATAATGCAGCCTGATGTGTGCAACCCACTCAACACGGGAAGAACCACCGTCAGCACGAGAGCTTCCGAAGAGCGTGATTGTACCCAATTCGTTGGTCATCCGATGTGACGTCGAGAGTGACCGACTGAAAGGGAACAACATTTCAACCCTTTTATGAAAACTTTGTCAGTTATTCCTCAAAATGGTGGACATGACCGAAAGAGACTGTTTGCAGTTCAGTGCGTGTACTGTGCACTGACTCGCAAGCTGTTGAGAGACTTGTGACTATCTGAGTAATGCTGATGATGTGGAGGAGCTGCTACTGCTGTAGACGGGGACAGGGAACGTGGCTCATGAATGCCTCTGAATTCTAAAGGAGAGCAGCAAGAAGAAGGTATTGCCACTCTCTCATATCCCTGAAAAGGCAATTGTGAACTGACACATTAGACTCAAGGCTTATACGTCCTGTGCACTCTCAACGACTAGCCCTTTCAAGCTCTCATCAACACAGGATTGACCATGTACCTCCTCTGCCCAGGGGTCCTGTGAGTTCCTGCAGAAAGCATTCCTCAGAACTATGAGCTAATGTTGATGAGACATGCATCATAGGGCTAGATCCCCTGGCATGCTTTAGGGCATGTATTAATGTGTTGAATGCTATGCTCCAAAAAAGGGACAGAGAATACTCAGGGCTTAGTTTGTGGAGGAAGCCAGCCAACTGGAACAGCCCAAGTTGGCTAAAGGTGCCCAGACCCCACTCCGCAGTGGACTCAGATGTCAGTAATGTGGGCTTTGGAGTTCAGGGGCCAGTTTTACTAACATCTTGCACCAGTGCAAACCGTCTTTTCGTGTTAAAATGTCAGGATTTACTAAAGACCGCACAGTGATGAATTAATGCTGAAAAGGCGTGGACACAGTTATTTTTGCGCCTGACCTTATTGAATATGCATTTCTAGGAGTTTCCCTTTCAGAAGCAAAATTTCTAAGAGGAGAGTATTCAAATGAATCACACACCTAACGTTTGCACTGGTCAAATTACTAGTATTTGCGCCATTATTTAACATCCAAAAAAGCATGTCTTAAACTATTTTGCACTTGAAATGGCTGCAATTGTTGTTGCAGAGAACAGAGAGCGCGTGGTAGAAGGGAGAGAATTTTTTCCACACTTATTAATTTATTTGGAATGCCAGAACAACACATTATCCGAACATATCATTTGCCAAGCCATGCTATTTTTAATTCTCAACTAGGAATCACACAATACCAGCTGTATCAAAACTTCTTGCAACCCTTCATTTTTTGACCTCCGGTTCTTTTCAACGTAGCCTACTGTGGCTTCTTTATTTTTTTATTCTTTATTTGCGACTACGCTAATTTGCGCTGCACTTGGTATATTGCATTGGTCGATATGTAAATTAGATGTTGCATCTGTGTTCTTTAATTAAGTTGTTAGTAGTTGTTAAGTTGTTAGTTGTTAGCAGAAAATTCCACGCCCATCGACGCTGTTTTGGAATTGCGCTCTTGCGCTAATTTGCCCCGTTTAGTAAAACTGGCCCCTGCTTTCCCAGCCTGGGGAAGACAGAGATTGTATGCTTTAGCTCAGTGGTTCCCAACCACGTTCCTGGATTTTGCATGCCTCCTTTGTCTGACACCACAATCTGCAGCACCAGGAGCCTGATACCATCTTAGCAAGTGTGCATAAACAGTTGGGAAAGAGGCAATAACTGGAATGGGAAGCAATATCTTTCAACTTTGATGTCCCTCCAGCCACTGGTTCTGATGCCAGGAACCACTATATCCTCATGGCCATGGGCTATTTCACCAAACGATGAGGACTGCAGATCACAATCCTCATTAGCGAGCATCAGTGTGACTGGGACTAACCCGTGCCCCTGTGGGCATGGTAGACCTGTCAACAGGACCAGGCAGGATTTCAGTATCTGCTACACTGCTGCTGTGTGTGGCAGAGCAAGTACCAAGACTTGCTACTGCCAATACATCCACAACATGCTGCTGTGAGCATGTAAGACATATTGCTTCTGCAAATATAGCATACATGAATCACCTCGTAGCAAATCTATACAGGTAGAGCTGGGGAAGGTGGAGGGTTTCTGAAGCAAGCTGCAACTGCTACGGCAAATACTAGTCATATATTTGAATGTTGAGCAGTGAGCTCAATGGCTACTGATACAGGAGAGAACGTCTCGGTTATGTATGTAACCCTCGTTCCCTGAAGGAGGGAATGGAGACGTCACGTCGGTGACCAATGAATTGGAATCTCGCTTAGAGAGACCAATCCACTTCGAGTGTAAACTAAATGAGCCAATGCACATTGTCATGCGATAATTCACAGCATGAGAATGAGCATGAGCATAAAAAGGTAGCCGGTGCAACGCATACCAGTTTTCGCTGAGGAGCCGAGCCGGTGATCTGGCCGCTCAGCAGTGGTACAGCAGCATGGCGACGGGACGTGACGTCTCCGTTCCCGGGGTTACATACGTAACAGAGACGTTCCCTTTCAGTATATGTATATGTGTATATGTATATACACTCTGTATTTGTGCCTGGAGCTTACTAATAATGATACTACTAATGCTTATTTTCATATTAAAAAGATGAAATATAAAAAAGAATATTAAACTAAACACATGGAATGCCAGTGAGCAAGTGACAGTATAAGTGTTTATATTTATGTTGTATGTATAATGGCCCTGTCACAAGCTTAACCAAAATGATGCCATAATAATTTAACTACTGTGTAACTCCCAGTGTTTGATTAGTTATTGTTCTTTTCTTTTCAGCCCTACTTTGCTTTATTTGCAGCTGTCCGGTGGCTTCTGACTGAATTTGTCATGTAAGACTCGTTTCTGTGATATTTTGAGATTTGGGGCCTTCAGGGAACGAGGGTTACATACGTAACAGAGACGTTCCCTTTCAGTATATGTATATGTGTATATGTATATACACTCTCTATTTGTGCCTGGAGCTTTCTAATAATGATACTACTAATGCTTATTTTCATATTAAAAAGATGAAATATAAAAAAGAATATTAAACTAAACACATGGAATGCCAGTGAGCAAGTGACAGTATAAGTGTTTATATTTATGTTGTATGTATAATGGCCCTGTCACAAGCTTAACCAAAATGATGCCATAATAATTTAACTACTGTGTAACTCCCAGTGTTTGATTAGTTATTGTTCTTTTCTTTTCAGCCCTACTTTGCTTTATTTGCAGCTGTCCGGTGGCTTCTGACTGAATTTGTCATGTAAGACTCGTTTCTGTGATATTTTGAGATTTGGGGATTGAAATATGTGTATTCCATTTTCCATGCACATATCAGGACATACAACAACAGGTGTCTGTTTGACATTTAGTTGAAAATATCTAAACATCCTAAAAATATGTATCTACAAAACTGGATACATTTGGTTTGTTTGAAATAATTGCAAATGTTTTACTAGTAGGAAGGGAATGGGAATAATTATCCTGGGAAAACATTTATTTTAAATATTTTTATGCTATCTTATACATTTTTTTATGGATATTTGGATATTTGAATTATAAAACAATACAAGCATAATGAATGATTTTTAGCAATATAATGTGATGGCACAAACAACATTTACAAGTGTCATAGGCGGTAGTGTCACATGGATGGGAATATGCTCATGGAAATCAAAATATTTTTAAAATCTTTTCAGATTTGCTTTAGTAATGACAACATTAAGTTTACAGTGTATTTTTACAAGTATTTTTTTTATAATATATTATAATATGGTTTGCTTTTATAATATGATGAAGTGTCTTAGGTTGGAAAGCACACATAGGCCACATTAAAATAACAGTACTGTAATTCTCACTCTTTGTTTTGGCCCATTTTATCTATGTATTTAATTCATTCATTTATTCATTCATACATACATACATGAATTTGTTTCTCTCTTTTCAGCACTTGCTTTCAGTATTGTTCTCTTTCATTTGCTTTTGCAGATTTCTGGTTGAGTTCAACCTGTACAGTTGGTGGAACTCTGACCTCACCATTAAGGGTTTGTATGTTTATGAGGATGTGTGTGTGATGTGTTGACGGCATCAGATCTAAAAGCACATTATATGCACATTATATGTAAATGAAGATTTCAGAAGTTTGCAAGATTTTTTGTATATAACTAGTGCTCAAGGCACAAGGTTGAGGTTTCAAATGTGCACTGACAGCACATTGTGCTCCATTAATTGTGATTCCATGACTGTAGCTTCACGCTGTCACCATGTGCAGTGCTACATTTCAGTTGAAGTAGAGTGATGTTTAGGGGTGCAACTCTACTCAGCCACATATAGCACTTAATACTGAAATACTGAAGCACTGACTGTGAGCCAGGCTTTATTTGCCAATATTGTAGCCCAACCTCTCTAAACTGCCTTCAGTTGAATAAAAACTACCGAATTCACAGAGACATGATATATTCAGAGCAAAAGGGAAAATGTGACCATGTTATTTCCAACAATTCACTTTTTTTCCCACTCTCAATTAATCAATTTATTATTAAGATATGTAACATGTTGGTCACATTAAATTGATCATTCACAGCATCATGTACCTTACTAGATAATCTATTACATCTGTATGCATTCTGAGGAAAAAAAATCTATAGAAACAAAATGTATACATGTTAAGCAGATTCAACAGGAGTGCATGCTGGCATTCATGTCTGTCCATAATTTTTTTACAGAATTTTCTGTCCCTAAAGTGATACAGATAAGCCTTGCCACAGAAAAACATTCGAAGAACAATGTCTCCCTCTCTGTTTTTCTCTCTAGCTCAGAGAGGAGGCAAAACTATGTTGGTTCCTTGTGATAAAGAGTATCCAGCATTCGTGTCTGAGCGCACCATTAAAGAAACCGTCGGGAATATTGACTGTGAAAGCTGTGTTAAGTAAGTGCAGTACTCAGACACACAATAAACACATAAATTCATGCACAAGCACATTTCTGTCATGACAACTCTCGGAGGGATTGGCATGGTAATGTACATGACAATGTTAATGTATTTGGTCTTGGCGGAATAGATCTGCTACGCTGCTGCTGCGGCAGAGAAAGTACTTGCTACTGCCAATACATCCACAACATGCTGCTGTGAGCATGTAAGAAATACTGCTGCTGAAAATATAACATACATGAAATAACCCCCATATAGCATACATGAATCACCTCATAGCAGATCTATACAGGTGGAGCTGGGGAAGGTGGAGGGTTTCTGAAGCAAGCTGCACTGCTACGGCAAGCACTAGTCATATATTTGAATGTTGAGCAGCGAGCTCATTGGCTACCAATACAGGAGAGAACCAATCAGCTGAGCCATGTGATAATGATGTCATTAGGTCAGATTGAGTTAGACCTATCGGACTGCGCCATCTAGAGTTCCATGCCAAAACTCTGCATATACATAAGACAGTTGGGGTCAGCTGAAAGATATCAGACAACCTTTACAGTCTGTTCACTCACATAGAATTATTATTCGCTTGATTCAGAATTATATGTGAGTGAACAGACTACATTTACACTTATTGTACTGTATATACAGTGCCACTATCTTTCATACCTTGCCACAAATTTTGTTTGCTTGTTGTCTTTGTTTGCTCCACAGCATGTTGTATTTAGCAACAGGGTATCTGTCTACTGAACAACTTGCATTGTACATTTACATCATTAATTGCTCAGTTGACTATAATGACTGATATAGTTGTGTTATGTGCATGAGTGAATGATGTACAAGATAATGAAAGAAAGAAAAAGGGTGCCAACTCAAATATGTTCTTTGTGTGTATTACATCATAACAGGAAGATTGATAGAAGTTTATTTCGTCTGGTAAGAGGAAACAAAATACCAAATTAAAATAAAAGCTAAGTATTTGCAATCCTTGCCTTTATAACATTGTTATAAATATTCAAACAGCTAATGTTGGAATCCTCTCCACTTTGTTGGCAATCATGCGTTTCTCCAATGCGGCAATTTGTTAAATTAATTACGAAACCATAAGATTACATTGTAGTTGTCTTATTTTAATTAATTAATTTAATGTGTACTGTACATACCTTGGCTTTTCTATGTTTGGTAAGACTTTATTTTGATGGTCCCTTTTGAAATTCTGTTGACTATAAGTAACTTGCAACTACATGCCAACTAACTTTAGTCTTTAGACTATTAGTAGACAGTTAGGTTATGGTTAGGGGTAGTTTTCTATAAAGGTACAGTCTATGACAAAAATGTAGACAGCTTTTGTGGATTTTCTAAATTAAGAACTCATGAACTCCAACACAAGCTCAATGCTTCCAAAACAGACAGTTTTTGCAGTGTTACAGCATGTAACTCAAACAGCACAACAAAAGCCACCCTACTGATTTGAGGTCAGACTGACTGTACTATACCATCATACATACATTGGTGACTTCTGTTACTAACTTTTATCCAAAGTAAGAGAAAAGACTATGCTAAAGAAAAAAAAATCTTTAACCTGTTTGCATTCAAGCAAACATGTGCGGTGTATGTCCAGTATATGAACACTTGTCTGCCTACATAGTGTACTGCCACCTCTTCCTACAGAGGACGCCCTCATCAACTCTTCTTACGTGGAGCAGATAAAAAAGTAATTTGAATCTAATTGGCTGTCTCCCCTCTTGTCTTGTCTTTCCCAGATCGTTTGTTATTCAGCAGATTCCCAGCAGTAATCTTTTCATGGTGGTCATTGACAATACATGTGACTGCAGTGACTTTGGACCTGTCACCATGGACCCCATCGAAATTATGTATATCCTTAATAAAAAGACAGTTTTCTTAGACAATTTCAATTAACCCTTTATTTTAACTCGCACTGATACTACAAACAGCAGACTAAAGCAATGCTTTCTTTTTTTAGACACTGTCTCTGTGGTCAATGTTTTCCTCTGTTTTGAAGTGTCTTCTTTGAACTGTCTTTTGTCATGTTTTTCCCTTAATTTCATTGCACATAACGAGTCTCTGAAATGTGAACGGTTGAAGTTTCAGAAGGAGAGAAGGCGACCAGACACGTGCCACCCCTTCCATCATGAGGTACAAGAACAAATCAAACTGAGCTGAATGAATGGATTGCTAAAGAGTTTTAGCTGCACACCTGTAACAGAGGTACAGCAACTATAACCATTCAGTGCAGGTATATGTTATTTGCACACCAGTCCAAATTGTAACATGCATTATTTGCATTTGATTGTATTCAATATTTCATTAATTTTGCAAGCATTTGTAATAGCCATTCCTAGGCACCATATCGTGACATTTAACAATCTACAACAAAGTGAAGGTTAATTTAGAGTAATAATGAATAGAATAATATTTGACAACAAATACTACAACAAATCATATGCTGAAAACTTTTTTTAATTTTTTTATGTACATTCCATTTCTGCAACTTCATAGGTGAACATTGGGATCAATTGTGCATTGATGGCTTCCTAAAGAATTTTCCAGGTTTTTGACACAGTCATAGAGTTTTGACATGACATTTTGTCTCTATTTGATCCATCTGCAGGAAAACTCAATGGAGTGTGGTGGTTCTGTGGGCTTGACTCCATCACTAACATCTACAGTTCTTATAGTCCTGATAGTCACCATCTTTCCCAGGTGATGAAAACAGAATTTGACCCATACGTCCACCTCGGTCATGCCAGTTTCACTCGGTCCAGCATGCAAAAATGTATTATATAAATATTTATTTTACATTAAAAGATTAAACAAATCATCAAAATCACTTGATAGACAGCTATATAAAGCTTTTTTTTCTTTTTAATAATATTGATATTTTATGTACACGTAGATAATAGGCAACCTTTTACAAATAAGGCTACAAGAGACTGATTACTGTGCTAATTAATTGAATAAAAGTACAATTCATAAATATCTACAAATAAATACAATTGTGTCATAAAATCAGCTTTTTGTTCTGTAATAAGTATTATAATTTATGATTTCCAGCCAAATGACTGTGATAATGCAATAGTAAGTATACAAAAGTTGATGTTCTAAATGAGCATTGCCTTACAAAAAAACATACTGCAGTTTGTATACTTTTGAAATAAAATCTTTAAAAAAATACAAAGAGAGCATAGATGTGAATTGATGTTTGATATTTATTTATTTATTTGTGTGCATTGCCAGTCTGCTTATGTCTCTAAAAATCTTAATTCCATGGCTTCAGCAGGCTGGTTTGTAAGACCTGAGTCTTCTTGCAGGCTTTAGGAATATTTGGTATGTCTCTCAAAACCTCATAGGGTCCCTCCCACTTGACAAGCTGCCAGATGTTGGCAAGAGCAGTAAAGTCAGGCAATACACTGTGCAATTTCAGCAATGTTTTGTTAAATACTAACTCTTACTGAAGTAAATTGCATGTGATGTAAAGTCAAAGCTCACAATTTATGTGCTCAGACTATATGGCCCTATCAGCGAACTGCGACTTTTCACTCTATACTTGTGAAATAAACACATGGAACAACTTCTGTGAACTATGCAGATCCATAACACACACTATGTCACCATTTTTTTTTACACCATTTTTTTGTCACCCAGAGATTAAGGCAATAAGTTCGTACCTCTTGTTCAACTGTGAGATACCTTCACAAGGGGCAACCAACATTTCATACATGTCAGAAATTCATGCAAGCCTTCAGCAAGACCTTCTGGCCAGAAACTTGGGTCTTATCATATATTCAGATAATACACACATACATGCATACATACATACGCATCTGACATGAGAACAGAAAAGCATTTAAATAGTAAGACTTAACAATAAATAATAATAATGTGTATGAATCTGGAACAGTAGATTTATGTACAGATTTGTGCATTATTTACTCTATACAGGTATAAATAAAGAGATATGCATATGTATTTACATAATACTTGAGAAAGAGGCAATAATTAAGGATGGAGAATGAATTACAGAAATTAATTGATTAATACAGAACACCGGTGATGATTCATGTGTTAGTTGTTTAAGCTGGAGATGGCATGGGGGGAAAAATGTTTTTATGCCTAGATGTTCTAGTGCACAGAGATCTGTAGCATCTGCCTGAGGCGAGAAGTGCAAACAGGTTGTGTCCGGGGTGAGAGGGGTCTGTGATGATGTTACCTGCCCGTTTCTTCACTCTGGAGATGTACAGGTCAAGGTGCAGGTGCAGGTACACATCAATGATCCTTTCTGCTGTCCAAACAGTCCGTTGCAGTCTTCTTAAATCTGATTTGCTGGCTGACCCAAACCAGACAGTTATAGAAGAGCACAGAACCGACTCAATAACAGCTGATTAAAACTGTGTCATCTGTGCCTGTGGTAGGTTGAACTTTTCAGGCTGAACAATGGAGTCAATGTGAATGTCCCACTTCAGGTCCTGAGAGTAGTGGTGTAATATAACGGAGTAATAATACTTTGTTACAGTACTTAAAGGGGTCATATGATGCAATTTCAATTTTTCCTTTCTCTTTGGAGTGTTACAAGCTCTTGGTGCATAAAGAAGATCTGTAAAGTTGCGAAGACTAAAGTAACGTGTTTCAGAAAGGCGGGCATAGAGAAGAAACAATAATGTACAGTATGTGGATAATAATGTGTTTTTTGAACCTTAAACCGCATAAACACATTTCATTACACCAAATACACAAAATAATGTTCTTTTTAGCAGCATCATATGACCCCTTTAA